CCCACGTGTGGCCGCTCGCTGTGACGTCAGCCCCGGGCTATGACGACGTGTCAGTGTCTCAGAGAAGGGAGCGGTGGCTGTACCGTGGGGCGACCCCACTCACCCACTCAGCTGTGACGCCGCGTGTGATGTCACCGTGACGCCACACATGATGTCATTGCAGTGCTGAACCTCGGAGCCCTCTAAGGCCTGTGCGGCCATGACAGCGTGGCACCGCTGCGAAATACGCGTGCAGCGGAGGGGGTGCTGTGCCATCCATCCGCGGTTCGGTGGCGTGGCTCGGGGTCGCGGCGCGCTGTCGTAACGCCCCGCACGCCCCAGAGCGCTGCCGCCCGTGGGTGGCTTTGGTCAGAACGTTGCTTTCTGCAGAGTTCCAGCAGCTGCGATCGGCAGCAAAATCTCCCTCCATGCCTGAACCTGTCGCAGCGGTTTCACAATCCCATCTCCTGTCGCAGCACTGAGGTACTTTCAAACTGTGCGGAGGCGTCAGTCAGTTGTCAAAAGGCACTGTTTAGCACAGCCTTTTGGCTTCTCGTAATTCAGTCTTGTAGAGGACTTGCTTGGATGATCCAGTTTTAATGTCATAATGATACATTCACTGTAACGCAGCTAAAAATAGCAGTTGCATAACAGTCCAAACATGGAAAAATAGGCCTGAAGGGAACCTGAGGTTGTGTTGTCCATCGGTCGACCCGAAGGCAGCATCAATGCGTCTTCATTTGCTGCAGACAAATGCCTAGTTTGTTCTTCAGAACCTCCAGGGAGGTTCCTCAGCCTGTGCGGTCTGTGTCAGTGCTGCATTAGCTTTTCTTCAAATCACTTTTTTCCTGAATCACTGGTGTAATTTAAGCTTGTTTATTTTTCCTATCTGCCATGAACATGGAAATCAGAGTATCCCTTTGTAGCAGCCTCTTACATATTTTAAGACTGTTATCTGCCTCTTCTGTCTTATCTTCTCCAGACTAAACAACCCTGTTTCTTGCAATCTTTCCTCGTAGGTCATGTTTTCTAAACCTCTGATCATTCTCATCACTCTCCTTCGGACTCTTCTAGTTGGTTCACATCTTTTTTGAAGTGCAGTGATCAAAAACTGGAAGCAGTACTCCCACTGAGGCCTTTCTGGGGCTGAATAGAATGGAAAGATTCTTACAGGCTCCACTGTTTCCCAGGACAAGGATTTTTCACAGCATGTGACACTCTTGTCTTGTGTTTTTCTTGTGATCTACTAAAGCTCCAGATTTTTTTTTTTTCCTGCAGAACGGATACCTAATCAGTTATTACGTTGTTCAGTTTTTTGTGCATAAGAAACAACCTCATTTTAATTGATCTTTCAGACCATACTGCTATACCAGAATCCATGAGCCAGTGGTGAAAACTAACGATCTGTTTTTTATGTTTGTTGAGAGGAATTCCTGAGGGTACAAACATTTACATCTTACACTGACAGCTACTTACATTTGGGAAAAGGGCCCTCTGTGTTTTTGAAAGCTCCAGCTAGTTCACTGCCAACTTTTCTGTTCTTTGTTTTCAAAGCTTTCTGTCATAACAGACCGTCTAGGTGAGAAGACGGGGATTAAGCTATTGTTGAAGTCCAGCAGTGTAATGGCTTTACTGATCGCTGTATACCTCCCATTCAAGATTTAGTGCAGAGCTTTCAGTTGTCTTTGCTGAGGGACAAAGGTCTGTGGATGCCATTTGGCTTTTTCACAGCTACGGAGAGATTACTGAAGTGCAACTCTGCCATTTCAGTTTTGGGGACTAATACACTCCTGTGTAGAGAACTTTCCAAAGTAGTATTGTGTTTCTGTTTATTTTGTTAATTTTTCTTTTTTCTTTACTCCTGATTCAGTGACATGAAGCATTCAGTGTGTTTGACACTGCCTTCTATGTACTCTCTTGCATGTCTTCGTAACGGAACTAGCAGCACATAGAGGAGTGCATTCACTGAGATAATAGATTTTTCTGTGCCTCTTATTAGTCTTTTGGGCAATTCAGACGGTTCATCCTCTCATTGTTTGTATGATTGATGATGACAAGTGAGTTGATCAAAGACTCTGCAAATTGTAATGCTGAGACAAAATCATTACTTAGAAACTGTTGTACTTGCAGTTTTCAGATATCAATCAAAATGACTTAGAAATGAATTAGAATTACAGCACTGTGAAAAAAAATCAGTCATTTCCACACTGAATAATCTTCAGTTGAAATAATAACTCGGTATAAACGTGCTGTGTTCTCTGTAGTAGCTGACTCTCTATTGTGAGTGCTTCATGGATAAGGTCCAGCAGCGTCAGCGATTCAGCTGGTTTTGCTCTCAATAGCTGCCTATTTTTCCTTGTTAGCATTTATATATTCCTGATGTCCTGACATATTTCTTAAGCTGCGGAATGTGGATCTGTTCCTTTGAGTTCAGTAGAAGTTAGGTATTTTGGGAACAGTGGTGCTATTTGGATAAAACATCACCTGCAGTCAGCTATTACACTGCATTGCAGCAAAAGATATGTTCTCTTAAAACACTAGTGTCGTTAACGGCCTTGCAAAAAAAATCAGTCTAAAATAAGTCCCGCTGTACTCATGTAATCCATCTAGTGAAGGTGCACACTTAAATTAATTTTGCTGAAGCCGGAACTTGCAACCTAAGCTGCAGACTACCAAACTGACGTGTTCCTCGGCAAACCCACAGATAATCATTGTCATAGTCTCCTAAAGCCATTCACTCACAGTCTGCAAGAAGAGTTTGGGTTTTTTTTGTAGTTACTCTTTC